CCCCAAAACCCCAAAACCCCAAAACCCCAAAACCCCGTATATTAAGCAGCCTGTTGAGAACCAACTAATATTTTATTTGTAGAAGTTGTAAGTAGAGTGGATGATCTTCTACCCGATCTGCCAAACTTCTTGTTTAACAAACCTCTAGAATGGACCAACAAAGACAGAAACTAAACTCTTCATCAGATGATGAGAAGAAATTAAATCTGTTTCAAGAGGAGGATTATTTGGGAGAAGACCCCTTCGCTCATTGGCATCATCAGGAGATCCAATATTCGGGTAAGGTGGCATACAGAGTTTATTCAACGAGATCTCTCCATTTTCGGTGAAAATTGTTTCCCTTGATCCATTTTAAAGCGATTGGCTAAAAAACTTCAAACCTGATGTTTTTCTCTGATCAATATCATTTAAAAATAAAAGATCAGTTTTATAAATGTTGGATAGTTTTCTTATCACTAATCTAAAAAGGCTAAATTTAGAATAAGATGCTTTCTCTGTGTAACTGGGATTACTATTACCTCTTTGCAGTATAATGAACTTGATACTTTTTAGCTTAACTTAAGCGTGCATTACCATATTCTCAAGACTGTACTCTTAGTATATTAATGAAACAACACAAAAAGATACTCAAGTGTATTAAGAGATTGTTAATTCTTTCAGAATAATGCTTATTCAAAAAAACTTATGATCGTCAAGTAATAACTGTGTCTATAGATGACCTTATTCTCTTCTCTCAGAGTATCCCGACGTTATCAAACAATGGATATGAGGATTCTTTAGATAGCCAAAATGAAACAGCTCCTCTACTGAAGAGGACAGCACAAGATGATTTGAGCGAGTTTGCAGAAAGTGCATCTAAAAATGGAAGTAAAATTACAGGAAATTCTATCCTGAATGACGAGTCTTCACCTAAAGAAGAAAAGATCAGAAAAAATATCGAAGAGAAAGAAGCCAATCTTCCCAAAGATAAGAGCAATAATTCCAAAGAGTATTCCTCCAGACCTGATGTCGTTGCAAAGAGTGTTATCAGAGGAGTTAAAAGATATTTCTGACAACTCCTTTGAAGTGGAAACTCTCTTATCCAATCTTTAGAAAGTGATAATGGATCACAAAGTCTCCAGAAAGTAGAGGAGGTAAATTTAATATCTGCAGCTTTATTTTTATTCAATCTTCTTACTAATACCTTCCATAGTATTGCGAAGCTCATTTTAAGCCAGATTGCGAGGATACTCATGGAATAGAGATCCTCTCTCTCCAAGAAATGTTGATCAAGAAAAATTATCACAAAGACCCCAAACTAACTCCTGAAGTGAAGCTATACTACAGATTAAAAGTTCTTCTTGCTTCAATGGTGTTGTATATTCCTCTCAACAGGAAGCATTGCTATCCATTTGTAAAGACTTCTTTTAATGTGTTCTACAACTGAATCTACAAATACTCTAAAGTAAAGATTAATAAACTGCTGAAGTTCCAAGCTTTCAGGGTAATATTTGAGCACTTTGTTGCCAAAGGCCAAATGGAGAAGATGATCAAAGAAGACCCTACATTCTCATGTAACCAGGAAGTGTACAGGAAAACCTTCAATGAATTGCTAGCTAAAATCAGAAGCTAATTTAAAGACAATATAACCATAATTTTTCTGCTAAAATCTCTACCAAACTCTGTCACTACCTGCTTCATCCCCTAAACCTCCTCCTTTCTCCTTCCTCCCTCTTCCCTTCCCCAAAACTTGAGTATCTTTCCTAACTACCAATCCCAACCCTAAACCTGTCAATGCACGTCTAGCCTAAAATTCATCAGATTCGAAGTGAAAGCTCACTCTGAAGTTTGTGTCGAAAGTTACTAGATTAAGCAAATTTAACTGTTTGGAATGGAGCTCCTTAAGTTTGTGGGGGAGTGGAGGTGGCTGTAGGTGGTCTTTTGAACCAGGAGAGGTTGGGAAGTTATGAAGAGGATTTAGAAGAGTTAATACAGAAGTATTGCTCTGCATTAAGAGAGAAGTTTAGATAAGTTATGGAGATCTTTTAGAAATTTCAGCATGGGTTTAGTCGAGTTTTGTTTCTGAAAAATTAGATTTTGAATATGCTAAGGAAAGGATTTGGGAATAGAGGGAGAGCTGAAGGGGTTTAGGCAAGAGAGCATGGGCAAGTGTAAGTGGGATTATAGAGCAGGAAGGGCTTAGGGTTGTTGTGTTTGTTGGATTTAGGGGGTTTTGGAAATTATTTGAGGTTTGGATAGGTATGTGCGGTTAGATGGAATTTTGAAGAATTTCTTTAGATTTGTGAAAAATGTTAGGAATTGAGGTGAGGGAACTTTTTAGTGAAACAATGCTAAATTATAGTGTTAATATTCAATAAATCACCAAATTTGGAAGCTCTCATTATAGCACATAAAGATTATATTAGCAGAAATGGCTGCTTGCTTTTCGGTTCTGAGATAAAAGTTTAAATAGAATCGAATAAAATTTTTCAAAATCCACAAAAATTAAAACAGATTGCTAAATCCTTAACAAAGAAATGATTCGTGAAAGTTCTAAACTCTAAAACCTTCTCTCAAAGAAACAGTTATTAATAAAAAGCTTTCAACATGTCTTTGTCATCACACAAAACAATTAAAAATATTTGATTCACGTAATTGCAAAATTAGCTTCTGATACATAAAACATTGACTTCAACGAGATATCAAATCCAGGTGAAAGTCTAGAAGTAAGCATTTTGGAACAAATATTTAGATCTTCAAAAATTCTTTAGTTTCGATAAGAAGACATGACTGATCTAAAACTACCTTCTCGTCATTAATAAAACTTAAATAAATTTCAAGTTATTCATGGTAAATTATCTTTCCAATAATAATTTCATCAAAAATTACAAATCTCCATCCTCAACACATCTCTCCTATCTATCCACAAATTACACTCAATTTCTTAATAATAACCAACTTTCATACATTTGACACTCTATTCACCTCCTTACCCCACCAAACCCCCAAAACCCCACCTCTCTATTCACCCTCTACCTCCACACCCACCGCTGCCACTCCCACTGCCACCTCTCCTCAACCCTCCCACACTAAAACTCCCTCCCCCACCTCCCTCCCCATACACTCCACCCATTGGCCTCCCCAAACCTAACCTCGTTCAATCCTTCTCCAGTCTCCCGGGGTTTTGGGGTTTTGGGGTTTTGGGGTTTTGGGG